TATGTATGTATGTATGTATGTATGTATGTATGTATGTATGTATGTATGTATGTATGTATGTATGTATGTATGTATGTATGTATGTATGTATGTATATGCACGTATATGTACGTATATATCTATCCATCTTCAACATCCTCGTGCGTCATGCAGCGCCGTTTAGCCTGCACACATGCAGGTCCAGAAGATTGATAGGATGGAACGCTGATCGTGCTCTCCAACTGAGCGCTTCATGGATCTCTCCATCGTTCACGTGTACTATGCACACGTCCCACAACCTTGAAAGGCAGTGATTGGCCCATTGTTAAGCCAAGCATGTAGCTAAGCACTCGATCAGGTTATCCTGTCAATTGGACAGGTAATCGCGCGCCACCAGCCTTAGTATGAGATGAATACGAGACCTACCTACTACTGTACCGTCATCCATACTTCGCTTCGGTCCTTCCCGCGCGCGAATCAGCAAGGGGGGTGGGTGGCAGTCGGAATGTCCGATGTCCCTGTCCCTATCCTTGTATACACTATACACAGCTAACCGGCACACACGCTGCATGCTGGTCAGTTCCATCCCCCAGATTATGGAGCTAGTTATATGACGGTAGGCTGATATGAATGTTATGATACTCGCGCGGATTTATCGTGAGACTGGGGAAATATGCAACAGGAGAATGTCTGCTTTTTCATTGTAGCGTGACTGCGTTGGGTGTCGATGGTGGGATGGCTTTTGCGCTGGAGTATTGGGTTGGAATAGGAGGTATGGCCAGTATGCTGAGGTAAGTGTGGCTGTTGGGCAAGTTCCACGAGGTAAAGTAGTCGTTTCGATTGGGTCGTACGTGAATTATGCTGGGAGCAATTCTGGATGTGATTTGCTTTACTCATACGTAGCACAGTTTATGTTGGAGACCAGACTATATCGACTTCTGCTTTCTGGTGGCCTCACTTCCATCTCCTTCTACTCTGGTTCTATGCTGAATAATACTGCGATAGTTAGCTGTGCAGCTTCTTTGTATTATAGAGAGTCAAGAGCCTGAGCTGGCTCATTGCTTTCAGATAACATATACTCCCAATCCATCTCTCAGCCCTCTTCACGACGAAAACTGTAGTGTACATTCTTCATACTTCAAACGATGTTAAGGTCACTCTGTTCAGGCCAAAGCTGGCACTACCTCCGTTGACTTATAAAGCTACGCCCTTTCGTGGTAAAGCCTCCTTAAATTTCCACCTCTCTATCCACTACCATATCAACTTCTACAGTTTACACTTGATCTACTCAATCCAGGTCGACTGATCACACAACTCCCGTTCCAGCTAAGCCTATATCCACCAATGCCTCCCATTCAGAACACTAGCGTACACCCCACAATCTCCTCGCGGTCTCGTCTCTTCTCCTCTGATTCCAGGTGGGACCTGGGAGAGATCGCGATCATCGTACCTTCGTCAATAGTTTTTGTGCTAATGTGTGCATACTTCCTGAAGCGCTGGTGGCAGAAGAGAAAGAATAACAGTAAGGATGAGGCTATCAGCTGAGCGTCTGCGACGTGTGATGCGATAGTTGTGCTTTGATTGTCTAGGCAAACTTGTTACGGTCGGCGGGTCTTTGTCTGTTTCTTGGTTGGATCATTAGTTCTGCTATGCATTTTACGTTGTTTACACAATCAATCGCACTGTCGGAATCTTTCTTCTATTAGCGTGGTTTCGCAGGCAGCTGGAGTCTGTCCATTATACGAATGCTCTGAGTCTCCAGATGTGGGAACTAGGAGATGTTGCAAATTGGAAGGCTTGAATGAATAGAATGCAAGCAATCTGAAATTGACCACAACGACTTCTGATTTCTGTGCTGACTAACACCGCCACCATCCATGACGGTGGAGCGTGATCCATGTCCGCGATTGAAAGTCTTACACTAGCATTGATCAGCAAACTGTGCCAAGAACTAGCGGGGCAAGCAGCAGCCGGAGCCCCGCTTTTCTATCGTAGCTCTCCAATGTCTCCACCATTGCCCATAGTTACAAAGAGCTTAGAGATGGATCGGTAACGCCAACAGAATGCGCTGGAGGCGCCATGAAGACGTCCGCCGACCCGACTAGGCTATATAAACACCCTCGAGAGCACCGAGCGGTCGAAAGAAGATTTCCTAAATGACAGACACATCAACCAAGCCAACTCAGCGAGAGTCGCACGTCCAAGCAGCATCAGCACTCAAGACCGTTCTCGCTACATTCATAGTCTTACTAGCTATCACACTGGCGTTCACGCCTCCTATACGTAGCTCCCTTACCAAGTTCCTCCCTCGATCCTTCTCGCAAGCACTTCGGACAATGTCCACCAACACTAGCACATCACCTGCGCTCAAGATCACGAAGCGTCCGTGGGCCGAGCGTGGACATGCCGATCATGGCTGGCTGTATAGCTTCCACACATTCTCATTCGCCTCATACTACTCACCCGAGCATGAGTCCTTCGGGCCCCTCCGTGTGATCAACGAAGATCGCGTGGAGAAGGGCACCGGGTTTGGCACGCACTCCCATGCAGAGTTCCTCATCTGGTCATATATTGTGTCCGGGGAACTAGAGCACAAGGACAGCATGGGAAACCTTGAGATTCTGAAGCGCGGCGAAGTCCAGTTTACAAGCGCCGGTACCGGCATCCGGCACAGCGAGTACAATAGGAATAAAAAAGACGATGTTCACTTCTTGCAGATCTGGGCAAAGCCGAATGTCCGGAGACTGAGCCCGAGCTACTGCACGAGAAAGTATACAGACGAGATGAAAACGGATAAGTTGCTCAGGATCATGGAGAGTGCGGATAGGCATAGCGGAAAGGATGGAGAGGCAGAGCCTATATCGATGCATGCTGATCTCAGCATGGACGCGAGCATCCTGACACCTGGAAAGAGTGTGGAGCATGAAATTGTGAAAGACGGCCCCAGGAAAGTGTATCTGCATGTTATCATGACAGATCGCAAACAGCCGTCCAGCGGTGGTATGAAGATTAAAGTTGGAAGTGTCGAGCTCGGAGAAGGAGATGGAGCGTACATCGATGGAGCAAGCGGACCTGGCAAGATCGTTGTCGAAAGCACTGGAGACAAGCCTGCCGAGTTTCTGCTCTTCGACATGGGCGTCGATGAGTCGTGAGTGGTATATGTTTCTAGTTCTCTACAAGATATGATGTGTATAGCCTTCATAAAACGATGTACTTTCAAACCGGGTATTTTACTGGTCCCATCTATGCACTACTTTCCTTCCTCATAGCATCCTCCAAATGCCCCTTGAACCTCCCATGCACCCCCTCCCAATTGGCCTCACATTTTGCCTTCACCGTCCCCACAATCAGCCTACTCCCCTTGATCTCCACCTCTTCCACCAACCACAACCTCTCCCCTCCACCCTCCCTCACCCCAACCTCATCGCCCTCTCTCACACTCCAAATACTCGTCTGCACCAAGCCCAGCGGCGCCCGAATGATCCACTCCAAGCACCCCTCCGCCGGATTGCTCATCTGCGCCTCAAAGCTCACCGTGGAGTCCCACAGGCCACGCGGCAGCGCATGCATGATGTCGGTTACCTTGTACAGCTTGGCATGGGGCGCGTTCTCAAGGGTGGGCAGTTCGACGTAGGTGGAGAGCTCCGGGTCGAGGCGGATTAGCAGGTCGTGGTTGCGCAGGAGGCTGTCGACGAGGGCTTTGGAGGCGCCGGGCGGGAGGAGGGAGGAGCTTTTGAGGGTGGCGGAGGTGTTTAGGACTGCGATTCGGGGAGAGGTTAGTTCGAGGGATTCAAGGTGGTAGAGAGATGTGCGGACTGTTCATGGTGTGGTGATTGGGTGGTGGTTCTGGTGGTGTTGTGGAACGTGTGTGTTGTGTTATGGGGACTGGGGGTTGAGTATGTGGTGAAGGGATGGTGGGGCTGTGGAGAGAGCTATGACCAGGGCCTGGTGCAGGGGTTGTATAGCACTCTCGCTCGTATGACATGTACGCTGTGTATGACATAGATCTTTGTCTTGAGAGGGTACTAGATCTATATTGGTCTATCTTGATATGGTAATGTAAGGTACGGACAGTTGGAATAAACATGGTCAGACTCAAGTAGCTATTGGAATCGGGAGTGGACAATGTCTCCCAGCGAGATAAGTTCATCTATAAATAGAAGAACTATGGGTTGTTATTAGAAGACAGTGCTGGATCCGAAATGAATGCCAGTTTCGTGTTTGGTAGAGATAGATAATGCGTTACATAAGATTGGTGGTGTATATGAAAAGGGTGAAGCCGTCGATGTAATCTAAATACTTTATGCGGTCTAAATATAGCATCATGACATGGATGTTTCAGTGTGAATTGAGAATTCGGCCATGAGCAGATGTTGACGAAGAATGAAGTGATTCAAGTACCGATGGGAATAGATCGAATATGCATGCCATGGAGCTGCGGGCTTGACGCGATGGAGTGCATAGATAATTAGATAGATAGGTAGGTGAGATTTAAAAAGGGTAGACGTACTGAGACATACGCCCAGCGCGCACACTCCTCAGACCGCAGTACAAGCTCACTCACCCTTCACCACGGAACACGAAAAACGCCTCCGTCTTGCATGAGAAAAGGGCGAAGGCTGTCGATTAATTGGCCAAACGATTGCCTGATCGCTGCAATCAGGCCCAACCATTGCTATATTCATATCATATTCTTATCTGGTCTATACAGGGACCCTTACGCACACAGATTAGATGGCAGATCGTCCTGGTCGACCGGCCAAGCGGTTACGCCGGCTGAGCACCGAGGATTCAGAGGCCGGCGATGCGGTCGTGTCTCAAAGCGGTACGAGTAAGGCGGGAAGAGGGTCAGTCGTGCGCCTTTTCTTTTCGAAAACAAAACTGTCCAGAGCATTCCTCAGCTTCCTTCACTCAACATCCCCACTTCTGCCTGTACGACAGCAACTCGCATACACTCAGCTTCACAAACACCACGCAAATACCTCCTATTCATTTTGCCCCCTTTGAATACTCTCACCAGTCAACTCCCTACAAGCCACCTATCTATCCGTTTCATGTCACAGCTTCAATCGCGTTCCCTCGACACTGTAATTTGAACACTGCTGTACGCAAGTTGCGACAAGAAAAGAGCACAATCTCACCTCACCTCACCTCAACTCAACTCAAACATGCCTCGATTACGCAGGCGCAGCAATAATCTGACTCCCTCTGCTTCCAGCACACGCCCAGCCGCCACCAGCAACTACAGTATGTCACGCCCACGACGCGGAGCGGCAGCAGCAGCAGCAGCAGCCGCGTCTGTCTCAGCAACAGTCGACCGCGAGGGCTCTAGCTCCCGGTCCCGCTCAGCATCACCAGAGAGAAAGCGCCTCCGTCTAACTGTCAAAGCAGCTCCTAGCAAACTACGCGAAGCGACCTCGTCGAATACAAGATCATCGGGTGGACGAACAAGCCTGCTACGAGGCAGGAGTAAGAAGACGGTTGTAGAAGAGTCGAGCGAAGAAGAAGAAGAAGAGGATGAGGACGAAGACGAAATGGACGCCGACGCCGACGAAGACGTTGAAATGGACGACCAGGACGACGACGATGATGACGACGATGAAGAAGATGCTGATGGCGAAGAAGACGAGCCCGTCGCCCCGACACCCGCCGCCGTTGCCGCATCGCGCAAGATACTGAAGCCCAGCGTCATAGTGACACTGCCACGAAAATTACTACCTGTAGAGGCGAAAGAGATAGCAATGGGTGATGCTTCCGACGACGAAGAACTGTCGGAGCTCGACTCCGACGAGGCCGAGGACATGGAGGAAGACGAAGAGCTAGGCGAGGAAGATGCAGAAGGAGAAGAAGAACCTGGCGAGGAAGACGCAGAAGGAGAAGATGAAGAGCTAGACAGCGATGAGGATGGCGCTTCAGAAGGTGGTACGCCTGACATGAGCAAGCTCACCCGGAGACAGCGTGCTGTATACGATGAGAGCTTAGAAGGAGGACTTATGGCCTTGTCCAACGGTACGTCTGATCTATGGCTTCTACTTTCAATCCTATAGCTAATTCGAACACGCAACAGAGGCTCAAAAGAAGAAGCATCTGACGGCCGAGGAACTGACCATGCGCCGCGCAGAGATGGCACGGCGACGCAAGAACCTGAGTGAGAAGCGCAACGAGGAAGAAAAGGTATCATCACGCCCAAAACCTGTAATCCCATTCAATTATAATTACACGACACTAACAAACCCAGATGGACACCATCAACCGTCTCCTTAAAAAGCAAGCCCCCAAGCGTCGCGGCAAAGCAGCCAAAGAACCAACAACCGCCGCAGATGCCGGCGACTCTGGAGCAGAAGATCTAGAACCGGAACCGGAGAGAGCACCCGCGCTCTACACTCACTATATCCAGAACGCAGACGGCGTGTCTCTCGGGGTACCGCACGAATGGCTTGATAGTCCGTTCGGCACGACGTTTGCAAACCCGGTCAAGGCTCAGTCTTCCAGGCCGTTCACTGGAAGGATGGTGGAGGAAGTTAGCTGAAGTCGTTTCTTACACCATTCACATGGAAAACTTGCAGCAGGACTGCCCTCCCATATGAGTGAGAGGCGCAGCAAAAAGGGAGCAGCAGCAGCAGCAGCATCTTGAATACATAAAACATTGAAAATATAGCATTTATTTGGCATGGCAGCTGATGCTGATATTAGCTAGGAGGCAACTTATATTTTGTTTTAAATCTAAGAGCAGCGACTGTCCTAGTACTTGAACTTGGATCACTGTTCCTCTGACGAGTTTCCACCTTCTCGCCATCTTGATTATTTCTCTTTGAAAGTGACACGTTTAGTGCGAAGCCAGTTTTTTTGTACGCAGACTCGACGGTACGTACGTACACAAGTCCATATGTTCCTTTTTGAAAGTGTTGCAAACATCAGTTGGTAAGATTCGAGAGTCACGCCGCGCGGTATTGTTGCAAGTAGAAGAGAGCTTCAGGGCACGAACGAGCACACAAGATATATAAAAACGCAGCACAGCATCGAGAACAAGGCATGAAGTGTAATCTGTATTGCATACCGATACTTCTTTCTCGACGACGAACAAACAAAGCCAAACATGTATACTCATGCACGTACCATACATGACGGAGCTGACCGAGAATGGAGACTCCTACACCGACGCCAACGCTAAAAGAACAGGCAATCCGGATTGTTAAAAAGAAAAGGAAAGAGAGAGAAAAAACAGTTCCATGGGCGCAGACAGTCCTGTTGCCAATATTCTTATTTATATCCCCTTCACATGTCCAAGCCTCTCAGTTTACGCGCCAGAAGCCCCTCACCAGCGAGGCGAGACTGTTGCGATCCAGGGCTGGTATAGCCAGATACACCCCTTGTAAACTTCTCGTACGCCTCCTCTGCGCCAGGAGATTGGGGTGACGACGTTGAGTTCGAGTTTGGGCGAGATCTATCCTCCGATCTCTCTAGGCATGATCGCGTCTGAAACGGGTCGAACGTCGGCGAGTCTACCTCCATCGGGTCGTTTGTCGATTGCTGGCCGCGACTGGAGGGTCTCGATTGTAGAGTATCAAGCTTGGAGAGACTGAAGGGGACAGGACTAAAAGACGGAGAAAAGGTGGTGTAGGGTGAGGACCGTGGATATGCGTTTGTGGGCGTGTGAGCTCCAAAACCATCCATGTTTTCGAGCATATGTTGCGATAGTGCGAAGCCGGAGCTCCTTCGGCGGTTGGCGATGTCTGATGTGAGCTGAGTTGCTGCAGCTGACGGTGCTGTGAAGGACATGGAATCTCTTGACGGTTTGTACAGGCTGTAGCGTGGCTCTGGTAGCTGGACTTCGTTGCGAAGTTTCTCCTTCCCATCAGGTACTCGATTAGCGAAAACCACCCGGACTCCCTTGTACAGATAGTATTTGTTCTGGCTAGGGCAGCATATATTAAGATGTATGAGGTAGCGTAAAACCGGGCGGTCATTCGGGTCGTCTGAATGTGACAAAGAAGCCTCTGGGCGATCCGTACCGTAGTTTTTACGAGCAGCTACTGGCATATCAAGAATCGGACCGGCGGAGTAAGATCTTTGGCGTATGAAAGTTTTCTGCCCGGGCTCCATATCACTGAGGTCATACGGTACGAGGAAAAGCTTTACTGCTGTCTTGTTTGGGTTCTTGATCACAATCTGCAGTTGGCCCTGCTGTGGAATGCGGTAGCATCCTCCAGGAGGAGCCCTGGGTGAAGCAGACCGCCGCTTCCTTTTCTCCTGCTTGCGCTGCTTATTACTTGCTTCGGCAGCATCATTTGAGCCAGCAGGTGGTGTCTGAGTTCCAGCTTGCACAGCTGCTTTGTTACGCTTCCGTCGCCGAGATTTGTCGTCCATCTCTTCTGGCGGTTTCAGTGAATGTTCCAGATCTATCAGACCTACGTAAGGACTCGGAGAATCATCAGCCACTCTCCCAGTCCCCGAGTTGTAACTGTAGAAAACGGCAGGGAATGGTACTGTGACGTGTGGGGGACATTTCAAGTTTGCTCTACAGTGTCCTTTGCCCAGAACGCCGATTTGCGCAAGAAAGTTTAGGGGTTTTGACGGAGTTGTGGACATGCGCCCACGAAGGATTGATTCTTCATACGATCCAACCATAGGAGCATGGTGAAGTGGTGATATCTCTGATGAAATAGATGGTCTGCGCGGACTCAATAAAGGCGTTTGTGGCGTGGAATTGGAATATAAATTGGGGACGTTGCTGAGTGATCGTCTGGGCTGGTGTGCCTGGTAAGGATAAGTACCTTCCCGTCTGAGGGAGGGTAAATGGCGCGCAGTAGGCGTGGACGTCACGCTAGAGGAACGAAGAGTCTGAAAAGAATGTGGTGAGAAGGTATGGCGCCTACTCTCCTTTGTAGGGCTCCTGGACATCATCTGAGGCTTTGGGGAGAAGTCAAGATCGGTGTTGTTCGACTGCTGAACCAGGGGACTTGTTGGTGGCAGCAGCATAACGCTTGACAAGGAAGTCTGGGAGATGTTTCGATTTCGAGTTTCCCCAGAAAACCTCTGATAGACGGCATCCATATGGCCAGAGTTTGCGGCCACATTTGCAGATGGGTGAGCGGAAATTGGAAAGTCCCGATGCCATGGCACGGTTGGAGAAGTAGCGATGGCACTTACTGAGCCGCCCCCCTCTTTCGCAGAGTCTTTGTATGGTCGAAAGTCTCCAGAGTGCAGGGCTGATCTGGGTCGCTCAATCTGCAGGCCAACCTCATTGCTGCTCGGTGCAGGCTGGGCCTCGGTCCCGGACTTTGGGGATGTCTTCAGTTCCAGCGCGGGCAGAAGAGGAGAACCAGAAGGTCTGGGAGAGCTTGTGCGAGATATTGGCGATGCCCTTCCGTCCGAACCAACATTTCGACGCTGCAACGTAGGACTCTTCTGTCTCTTTATCCGTTCTATAAGCTCTTCTCGACTCATATTCTGCCTCCCTTCCAGACTGGACATGACTTGGACATTACTGAGCGCTGTAGTCCCTGGGTGCTCATCATTCTGCTTTCTCTCCTGACTCCCTGCTCTTGAAGCTCCTTTTGAGCTTATTCTAGCCAGTAGAGGACTCCTCACCTCATGAGGAGCGGATTGCTCCCCAGTATCGGGACTCTGGGGCGCGAAGGTGTGCCCGTCGTGGAATATGGGCATGGTTGGATAGCGCTTGACTGGTATGTCATGAGGACGGCTTGTCGTTATATGCTGTCCAGGTATCTGTATTTCACACAGCTCTCAATCTAGAGTGTGAATGTTTAAGAACAAGCGTCAGAGTAGTAGAGTTGATTAACGGAAGATCGACGTGCGGTTAGGCTTATAGCGGCGTAGATCATGCGTAATTATACATAGGGAGGCGGTGTGAAGACGACAGAGAGCTCGTTGGAAGCATGTCCAATGCTCCGATCTATACCACACGGCAGGCGACGTGAAGCTGGAGTGGTGAGTTATGAAGAATGAATGAGGTCTGAGGACCGAGGAGGAGTCAAGCGGCAGTAGTAATGACGCGAGCGACGAGACCTGCTGCGGAACCGCACCCTGTTGGGCGGGCTAGAGAGCGACAGGCAGTGGTCACACGCATGTCAATGCGTTGTTTTTTACTTTTGCAGCGGCCCTGAGTGTATTCCTCGCCCACGTGCATAGCTGAGACTGGCCATCTGCAGCATTTTTGTGTTTGATACGTAGCATTGTTTCCTCGTGTAATACCTCGAGACGAAGACGATTGCAGAGTTGACAAAGTTGGAGCTGGAATGGAGCAGCTGGAGCTTTGGGGGGGGAACTTTATCGCCTGTTATCGCCTGTTATCAGGGTCCTCACCCGCCAAATTTAGCTAGCCTTAGCTGGCATTAGTCACTATTTTAGCGTCCAGGGCCCCCCAGCCCCGCACCATCGCCGCCCAGTTTAGCGTCGAGTATCCGATACTTACCAAGCTTTTGGCGCGAAATCTCGTCACTCTCTGCACGCCCATCGCAATATACACCACAACAATAATGCCTTCAAAACGACCACACAGCGATACAGATGGCGTCAAGCCAGACAAGAAGAAGCACAAGAAGGGCTTCCAAGTCGGACCGGCAAATCTGCCTGACGGGACACATAAGAGACAAGGTAAAGCAGTCCCCAATGGTCCTGACATGCATAACCTGCTCACACAAATCCTCGTTGCAGTGCAAAAGATAAAAAACGACCTGATCGCCAAAGCGAAGCTCAGGAAGCAGTACGCAAAGATCCGAGAGCGGGAACTCGCCAACCAACCACCCAACCGTTACATCCACAACACAGCCTCTGACAACAACGAGAACGACAGCAACAACGACGAACAAGCCGGTGCGCAGGACACCCACCACGAACCGGCCGCCGCATCTTCAGAGCCTCATCCAGATCGCCAAAAGCTGCTGCTTGAAGAAGACGCCACCACCACCGAGCCACAAGACGACGACGCTTCAAAGCCGTCGTGGAAGCGACAGAAGCGGCCGAAACCAGTACCCTTCGCGCGCGAGGCCGAGCAGGCCCAGAAGAGGAAACAAGAGGCTGAAGAGCGGCGTCTAGCGAGGGAGGAGGCGGAGAAGGAGAGGCAGCGCAAGATTGCGGAGCGTGAGCGGTTTAGGAGGGCTATGGCCAAAGCGAGGACGGGAGGGCCGAACGGGCAGAGGAAGCTGGGGAGAGAGAGTCAGGTTTTGCTGGAGAAGGTTAAGAGGATGGTGGATGCTTGAAATGGAGTGTTTCGACTTTTGTGTGCCAAATGATGTTTTGGCTTGGCGGCGGACTGGTTAAAGAATTGGATCGGAGTACGCGATACTGATGTCTACTGCTGGGAGACCTGTATAGCTACGGACTCTGCGAACGACAGACAACTTTCTTTGCATACATAGTCCGCGTATTTCCCGTCCTATGCATAGCGTATTTTCCTACCATAGACGTGGATGCGACACGTATTTTGATACCCAGTATACTGCAAACTAGCCATCATATGTCACTTTGATGTATGCCGTTAATACACATCCCCACTTAGTGTCCGCTGTTGCATATTTACCAAATTGTCCTGACATGACACACCACACAATCGCAAACCTCACCCCACCTCGATCAAACACAGCCTTACCGGCGATTGATGTGTGCACGTCGCGCCAAAGACGTACGCGTCGAGGTTCTGGTCTATCTGTGCGTTCTAATTCCGATGGTGGGACAGTGTCGTGCAACCTGGGGCGTTGCTTTCGAATGTTTGAAGGCAGGATTTGTAGCATCACAGCAAGCCGCTTGTGCGATGTGGGATATAGATGGCTTCCCAATATTGTGCCTTGAGTCATACTATAGAACTGCACTTAAGAACATAGGTTCAGCAGTTTTAGTGTGTTAAGCTCTTCCTTGGGGAGAATCATAGTGGTGGCATGGGTTCTTATCAAGCTCCCAAGGATATAGCATGCCAGCACGAGTCAGAAGTAGCCCCTGCTTTATCCCTATGACACGGGTGCGCCCTTGTCGACCTCACATTCGAGTCAGCATAAACGATTCATGAAGTCGAGATCATGATTGGCAGCCTCGATGGCGCGATATTGATTGACCCCTTATAAAACCGCGCGCTAATAGAGGATATCGCATTCTGCTTCAGTTCAGACGCCAAGGGTCTTTGTCTAGAGTGGTTCAGCCTGGAGATGCAGACAATAAGACACGAACTGGCAAGTTCGCGGAACGATCAACAATTTGATACCAGCACCGAAAATCCGGATACGCGGTTGAAGGCCTCGGACCAAGACAACTAATTTGGCAGGCGTCCGGCATCGCTTTCTTGGAGCTATCCTTCTTGCTGGTTCCGCGGCATAAGAATCGCGCAGGCTATTTTCTCCACGTTAGCCACACGATGGCGAGAGACTAGTAGAAGTGCATTTTTCTTTCGATGGGTGCACGCGACTTGTGATATGCTGAGTAACGGGTTGGTTGCGAGCCTTGTCCAGGTAGCAATATCAACGAGACCAGACCAGATTCCAGTTGTGCAGAAGGTAGCTCGAGCCTCGAGGCAGTGCAGCCCACATGCGTTGTAAGACATCTGTGAGACTGAACGAGATCACTGTGACGAAGCGCCTGGTCATTCACCAATATCCTGTGCCGCAGTGATACGCATTATCGAGTCTCCAGTAGCACAACTCTCCATCGTGCCCAGAGTCCGCCATATTCCAATTGCGGTCAACAGACCTACGTTAAGCCGATAAGGAAGCCTTCTGGAACACGCACAGCAGACATTTCCGATCATCCTCCGCCGAGACTCTAGCGCCGAGCAAATGCAACCACATTCATTGAGCTCTGCGCATCCAGCAGGTGTAGTAGTTGAACGTGTCGGTCCAACCGAAGAGACAGATGTAACCTGAGACTTGCAAGAAATGCATGGGGCTGCACGCGATGTGACTGGGGCTTGCAGTGTTCCACCATCCCTTGATCGGCAGAAGCGTTTCGATAAGCCGTACCGTGGGGAATCGGTGGTATTCTAGAATCTTGGGAGCGGACTTGGGGGGCTTCATGGTTCAAGTGACGTTCGGCGACGCTGATGCCACTTTAGCTTGTGGCCTCTCAGACCCGATGTTAAGCGTGTTGATACAAGACGTTGGTTATGGTGTCCGGCAGCCATGGTAGCGGTGGCGCCCAGTGAAGAGAGGCGTCCGAGTGAAAGTGAAGTCGATAGAGAAAGGCTGGGGAAGACGATGGCGGAGGGCTTGGCGCCGAGAGCATCCGAGCCAATCATGTGCAGCTGCCCTGGAAGCGCAACAGCGTCTATGTTGCCCTCACCACTACGTTTCTCCCTGCAGACAACCGTCTACGTTCACTTGCACGTTCTTGTTACTGCCCACAACCAATATGTAGCATACTCTCTCTAAACAGCACTGCTGTGCACTGGAGACAAGCTGTACACGGCAGCCAAAAGAAAAAAAAATAAGAGCACGGCAGACCAAGCATGGCGCAGAACTGGCACGGTCTACGACTCTGGCTACTGAACTTCATATCATCTACACTGATGAAGAAATGCTCTCTCCTTCCTAAATAAGCCTAAGAGCCTCCCTGTCTGCCCAGATGCCCAGGACGATTGCGAGTGGCGAGGATGAAGACGACAAGACGACAAGACAGAATGGCATGCGTCCAAGCAAAGAGGCGTCGGACGGCCAAGGCGAACAGTTCATGGATCCCACCCATGGGAGTGCAGCGACTGGTGCAGGCATGGCCCCGCCCTGCTGTGGCCAAGAGATAACCCTTTGGTTGTTCACAACATCTCGGTGCGTGAATGCGTCAGGTGAAGTGAAAGATGAGCTTTTATCTTTTCCTCGTCGCACAGGAAGCGAGGGCGCCGTGGCACAGCATGGGACCTATATATCTCGCTTCGCTGCTCCCTCGACCGCGACGCTTTCATCTGGTATCCCTGATCTGCTTTCCTTCGTCCTCATAACCGCTGGTCAATTGATCCATCATCATGCCTTTTCAACCTGCCGACGAGGCTCATGCAATTGCTGGCTCTGAGGTCAAGGGTGCTGGCATGCCGACTCCCACACTGGAGAAACAGATCGCTATGGAGAGGGGTTCTTCCATTTCTGACACCGACGATGAGCTGGACCTAGTTATTCCTACAGAGGAAGAGCTTCATACTCTGAAGCGTGTCCCTGGCGTTTTGCCATGGATTGCTTTCACCGTCGCCTTCGTCGAGCTCTGCGAACGTTTCTCATACTATGGAACTGTCGCCATCTGTACGTCTCAGTTGCAATTTTCGCGTTACGCGTCACGCGACCGTTACTAACTTCTTGTAGTCGTCAACTTCATCCAACGCGACCGACCTGTCATCGACGGTGTCCTCCAAGTTACCGGTGCCGATCCCAGGCCTGATGGACGACCAGGTGCAATTGGTGCTGGTCAACGTGCTTCTTTCGGTCTTACTACTTGTACGTCGCTCGATCCGTCCCGGAGAACAAATGCTAATATCAACAAGTTAACCGGTTCTGGGCTTATTTCATGCCTCTGTTTGGTGCTTACATCGCTGATACCTACTGGGGTCGCTACAAGACGATTCACGCATCCATAGTCGTCTGTTTCTTCGGTCACTGCATCATCATCATTTCCGCGATCCCCAAAGTCCTCGATCACCCTCAAGGTGCACTCGGATGCTTTGCTGTCGGGCTTGTGTTCTTTGGTATCGGTGTCGGCGGCTTCAAATCGAATATCTCTCCCATGGTTGCGGAGCAGCTAAGAGCTCCTAAGATTCACGTTCAGACCAACAAATCTGGTCAGCGCGTCATTGTTGACCCTGCCCTTACCACTCAGCGCATGTTCATGTGGTTTTACCTCTTCATCAACATTGGCGCTGTCACTGGCCAAGTTTCCATGGTTTACGCTGAGCGCTACGTTGGTTTCTGGCTGTCGTTCTTCCTCCCGACCATCATGTTGATGCTCTGCCCTGTCGTTCTCATCGCCTTCAACAAGAAGTACCACCATTCGCCACCTACTGGATCAATTCTCGGCACGTTCTTCAAGCTCATCAGCCTTGGCTTCAAGGGCAAAACTTCCATCAACCCTGCCGTCACGTGGAGAAATATGCGCGACCCAGCATTTTTCGAGGACATTAAGCCTTCGCGCGTGGCCAACAAGCCAGACTGGATGGTATTCGATGATGCCTGGGTCGACGAAGTTGCTCGCGCTACCAAAGCATGCACTGTCTTCCTCTTCTTCCCCATTTTCTGGCTGGCATATAACCAAATTGAGAGCAATCTTACTTCGCAAGCCGCGACCATGGAGCTGCATGGCGTACCCAACGATCTACTGAATAATCTAAATCCCATCGGTATCATTATCATGATACCTATCCTCGACGTGCTAGTCTACCCCTTGATTCGTAAGGCCGGCTTGAACTTTACACCTCTGAAACGCATGACCGCCGGCTTCTTCCTTGGCTGCGCTGCCATGATCTGGGCCGCCGTCATTCAGCACTACATCTACGAGAAGGGCGCTTGTGGCAAATACATGAACACATGCGAGACACCCGATGGCGACGCCCTACCAGCGCCTATCAACGTGTGGGCTCAAACCGGCTCGTACATCCTCGTAGGTCTCGCTGAGATCATGGCGTCCATCACTGGTCTCGAGTATGCGTACACCAAGGCACCCGTCAACATGCGCTCGCTCGTTATGGGCTTCTACCAGATGACCTCCGCGTTATCAGCTGCACTAGGCCAGGCATTTGTCGCACTTTCCGAAGACCCACTGCTTGTGTGGAACTACGGCGCCGTTGCGATCATCGCGTTTGTAGGCGGTGTCGCATTTTGGGTCTTATTCCGTAAGTACGACCAACAGGAGGACAAGCTCAACTTGATCAAGGAGTCAGAGTACCGAGGCACAAACAGGCCCGGTCAGGTCGACAGCAGCAAGTTGGATCAAACGGCCGACGCGAGGGTTTAGAGCGTGGCTGCCTGGGTTCTTTTTGATATTCAATGCGCGTATGTGTCACGACGAAATGGATAATGTTGGGCATGGTCTCATACGGGATGTCGATCACGATGTTCAAACATGACGGGCGGGTGCTGCTGATACCCTGGCTATGATTGTTTCACTGTAGCTATTTACAAGTCGCATAAGTTGTCGCATGATTCCATCTTCAGATGGTGTGCGAAGTTAACCATATGTTCGGTTGCGCCAGTCGTGATATCGGGGTAGCTGACAGCTTCAGCTCTTGCCTACTTACGGTTGGCCGTGCGTAGTGTGCGGCATCACTGAAGATGGGACTCCTTGTCTTTCAGCCACGATTCTCAGTAAGTGCTTAGACACCATTAACGTCATTCTGATTGTGTTTGTTAGTCATGTATCGCGCTTGCATGGTATAGAATCAATAAAATCCTCCGTGCCCACCGTGGCCGTATCCTGGACCATAACCACCACCGTATCCTCCGCCATAGCCACCACTGTGTGCACCAAAATGCCCTCCTTGTTGACCTCCTTGATAGCCAAACTGCTGCTGTGGAAATGTTGGCATCTGTTGTGGCCTGTGTTGTGCTGGTATCGGTTTACCAATCGCCGTCTTCAATTGCGTCAATAAACCTGGAAGCTCTGATGCCACTCCGCCTCTGTTTTCTCTATTATGCGGATGAAATCCTCGCTGGGCCACGCGACTTCTCGCCAGATCTGTCCAGTGCTCAACCTTTTGAATGATATCTGTCTTGTTTCGCGTAAAATGCTCACGCACAACGTCGTTCCACAAGGGGCTTCCTTGCCCTCGGAGCCATGGCAGCATTGCGTATTTGACCGTTAGCGCATACGTATTGATATTATAGAGTTTCGACTCTGGCCCGCCGTGCTCTTTCTCGTCGCCTGGCTCGTTACATAGTGGCTCCTCGCAGAATATGAATGCCCACGTGCTGAGCAGAAGTTGCTGCAGCGTCGATAGCTTCTCGTTCCATACCTCGCCATACGGCCAGGTACCCAGGAGAGACAAGCAGACTTTGCCGTTCTTGTATAGGTTTGGATTGAAGTTTGCAAGGCCGCCACCTGTCGTCTTGAACAGCATTTTGGGTGGTGCTGTGGGCCAGCTTGGTTCACACCACAAGTCGAACTCGAATAACCCGTAGCCGTACGGCGAGTCTTTGGGTCCGATAATGAGCACTTTAAACAAGTCGATCTGCATATCGGAATAGCGTACGAAGATGCCTGGGGGTAGACTTGTCTTCATGTTGGCGATGGTCAGCATGAGCTTTCGAGTGTGGTCCTTGTGCAGGAAACTATGTTGTCTCATGTCAGGGCCACCCAACATTGCATTAGCAAAGGTCATCTTTGATGCGAATGTTTGCTGGATATCCTGGTTCGAGACGGACAGAATGCATCGATCTTTCTGCCATTGCTCCCAAGAACCGGCAGCTTTGTCGATTTTACTGATTGTGCTGGCAAAGACTGACTCTGCGACTTGGTTGATCTTCTGACAGAGAGCGACCATATCACGATGCTCTGAAGTCTGGAATGCTTCCGCGTTGGCGATGATGATTTGAGCCTGAGTGTTGAGATTACGGAAGCAGCTGGCGATCGACTGCAGCTTGTCATCTTTTCCCTTACCCTTTGGCACTGCAGTATTGCCAAATGACACGGTTAACAGGTTGGTCCCTTTCGCCCTGGCCAGCCTTTCTTCCATCACCGATGGTGCAGTGCCCGGATGACTTCCAAGCAGCATCACGAAGTTGATCGCCGCCTCATATACGCTCCTCCTCGTCCCAGCATCCTCCACGCTATCGTTCCGCAGCAACTCCGCCATTCTATCCAGCACATCAGACACCCTCAAGATATCCAAGAGCACAGGAGCAACAGTGCCCACTCGCGGCAATAGCTCGTTTACAAACGCAACCACCTCGTCCGTCAACACGTCAACCTGCTCTCTCTTTGCCGCCGCTTCAGCCTGGCCAGCCTGTCGTGCGGCCACTTCCATGCCGTGCTGAGCCTCCATGTAGCGATCGCCAGCACCGAATCCGTCATATGCTTCATACCCGACGCCTCCGGACCGGTCCTGCCGCCCGACGCGCCTGCCTCGGAATGCGTCTGCATTGCCACTGTCCAGCGCCAACTGATAATCGAAGCCGCATAGCAACGCCCAGGTCAGAAACAGTTTACCCGCATCGCAGCACCAGGTGAGCGTGGTGCCATCAACGACGACTCGGTTGTTGGATATCGGCCCAGACTGCTGCTTGCCACAGCCAACGCAGGTATGGCGTGTACAGCTAGAGCACTGCAGTACAGAGCTGATGGGTATATCGTACCATTTCTGGAACAAGGCGAGCACGGCTTGTTGCGTGGGGAGAAGCGGCAGTGTGCAGCTGGAGCACTGGGTTCTTGTCGTCTGAAGGGTGTACGCGTGTACTGTTGGTGGAATATCCCTGTGCGCGGCTTCTTGTGCTGCATTATACGGGGGCGGTGGTGCTTGGTTCCGTGGGCTATATGGGCTTGCTGCGGGTGTGGTATGTGGTTGATTGCTGTAACTGAACTGGGATGCGGCGCTCGCACTGGTGTCCAGATTCATTCGCTCCTGCAACCTTCGTGCGAACACTTCGTCATCACTGAGTGCCGGCCTCCCCGTTGAAGGGCCTGAGTATGGCGGGGGTTGGTCTGAGGGATAGCGCTGTTGTGAAGGAGTGCTGTGTTCTTCAGCGTCAAACTGTGCTTGCAGCATGCGTGCGACTTCTTCGTCGGACGGCATGGTTGGTCAGTGATATAGTACTAGTTGAAAGTTGGTGGGCTGGTGGGAATGTTATCCTTGTACTGCTTGGCGGTTTGGGAAAAAGATAGGAGATCATTTTGCAGGACTGGAAGATATATGAGGGCCACACCTCTCTATGAGAATATTGTATTTACAGGGCTGTCGTATTCGGTCGTGTATGTCCCTGTAAAAGAGAGGGAATTGTAGAGGTGGGGAAAGTGGCCTTTTAACCAGGCTTTATCAGCAAGAGTGACTTTGGAAGAACACAGACGATGACGAGGCATATGAGTGAAGGCATAGTGACGAGGTTTCGCGATACATGGCTCTGATGACTGCTTGCCAAGTAATGTTTTCATTATAAGTCGTTGTCCATTATCATTAACCATTATAGCATACCAAAATAAATGCAACAAGAACGCCCACGCTTCATGGGCATAAACAAGTCATCTCCATATTACTTCCTCCCCATCACATCATGTCCTCAGCACGGCAAAGCCCGCTCATCAGTCGGCGTCTTAAACAGCACCAACTCCTCCTTCCTTCGCATAGCCACATCGGCAACCCCCAAATCATGCCCGAGCAAGTCCTGCGAAAAGATACTCGCAAAGTTCCCCGACGGCGCCGCCTTGATGGCCTTGTAAAACTCCAACAATTGCGGCGCCATCTCGCCACCGTTGAACGCCACACTGACCACGACGCCGTACTGGTTCGCGTTCAGGTCGACGTCAGCAAGATTCATGCTGACGTTGTGCTCGAACTTGTGCAGATCTTGCCGCAGCAGGGCTTCCATATCAGCCGGTGACAAGGGAATGGAGAATTGGCGTGATACTTCGAGGCATGCGGGCTCGATGCATCGGTGGCCAACGCCAATGGTCTCGGCGCCGAGTTGGTCGCGGTAGATGGACGGCATGCGACCTTCTTTGTGTATCAGTAGGTCCAGCGAGGCTTTGTTGATCTGAGGTGTGCATCTGCCGGTGTTGTGTGGTGCTGGCTTTGGTGGTGAGGGCTTAAGGGCCGGAATCGGGGCGAGCAGGGGGGAAGTTGATACTGCGGGCGAGGCCGGGATCAGGGCAGGTGAGGGATGCGGTGGAGGAGGTGGTGGCCGTGTGTCTTGCTCCTTCGCTGGAGCTGGAGGTGGAGGTGGAGAAGGGGGATGAATGGATGTCGATGGAGCGGGTGCTGGGACGACGTGATGCGGAGCAGATGGTAAAGGAGCAGGCGCTGGCGCAACAGGCATTGGGGGAGCTTTAGGGGCCTCGGACTCGGGTGCAAACTGGGTGAAAGTGGAGGTGTTGTGCCATTTACCGTCGTCGTATGCGACAGGTAGCCCCAATGTCGATGGGCCGAAGAAGAGGGCAGTAAGTGCGAGGATGTGCGAAGAGTGCATGGTGAATGGATGGATGTATAGGTTATCCACACTAAGCTTTCGTAGGTAGTTCGATGATGTTATGAGACGACAAAGTCTCACTCAAGATGGTATGAGTGAGTTGAATTGATGGGAGTAGTTGTTTGTTTGATGTGATGAAGCCATAATTGCACCCGGGACGACACATATTTGTATGGCTCGATGGCTGACCTCGAGTCTCTTCCCAGCTTCATGGCGAAGGAGTTGGTATTTCTCCTAAAGAGTGGGCGTACTGAGGCAGGGTCTTTCACTCGGTCCCAGACTGGAAGCATAGCCACCAGAAAGGGGACATAACTGCTACTGATGCTGGAGGCATGGTGCCGGAGATTATAGAGGTGTAGCAGAGCAACCACGGCAGGGAATTATCTCCGATGCAGGTACTCACACTTCTTCTAGGGTCTTCATTGCTGGGCAGAAGACATTTCGGCACATATAATTCTGGAATCTGAATTGCTCCGCACCAATATGCAGACGAGATGGCTGTGGCTGTCAAGCTTTTGTGTTGTGGTTCTTGATCTGGGGAAGCGGCTGGTCCCGCCGCCACATCCAACGTTATGCGCCACAGCTATGCACAGACTACCCCGAGGTCCTGCCTAGCACGCCCCAAGGCTAGTCCAGGAGCGTACCTAGCGTGCCACTCTACGCGCATCGCGTGAGACGCGTTGAACCTCAGTCAAGCACACATTCTCAACGCGAGTGATAGGGAAAGCATCTATGTACGACTACATGAATATTATTGACAATATGTGCTTGAGCATTCATGTATCCATCCTCGCCTGATATACCAACATCTTTTGATCCAGCTATTCATTTGCATTCCGAAGTCGACACGCGTCTGCCATCTGAAAACCACTCTGACGAGATCGAAGCCCAGCTGCAACAGATAGAGGAGACCAGGATCACGAAAAACAGAGAAGGCATTGTGATTCAGCATCGCGCTTGGAGATCTGTTGACGCATTTCGGAGTGAGGAAGACTATATATTTGGTACAGCTCCTTTATTGCTGAGCGCGTCTGCATTGCCTCATATATCACAGATACACCAACGAGAACGCGGGTGAAGCGTGCGAGTAGCAACAAAAGTAGCATCTTCCCGTCCTCCCCACCGACGAGAACTATGCCGTTCATCTCGTCTCCAGTAGCTTATCCAGCGACCTCGTCTCCAGCTGCGCACTCCCCCAGGAAACGAAGGAAGCTTGGGGACGATGGGAAACCATCTAGGAGTCCATTGGATGTAGTCGATGCCAACAAGCGTCAAACCGCCGGGCCTTTTCTAGAGGAGGACGACGATGACTCGGAAGAAGATTCAGATGACCTAAAAGCCAGGCTCGGCAAACGCAAAGCGGTGCAATTCACGCATAAAAGCTCTCCCCCACCTATGGATCCTGCCCAGGTTAGTCAGCCCAGTGATGTGGTTGAAGCAGTCGAATCAGTCGCGGAGATAGCGTCAACAGCGAATCGTGAGGTAGCGCCTACCGAGACTCGACATGGAGGGCTTCAGCTGGCGAAAGCGACGACTGAATCAGGCCGAATCGTCTCTATTGCAGAGAGAAGAAAGAAGACTGCAAAAACGTATGAGCAAATAATCGCCTCGCGATCCAATTATGCTCCAGGAGAAGCCCGCCAATGCTACTATGGTCTGAACATCCACCAACTGATGGATGACGCTAATCGTGAGGACGCTTCGAAGGCGGAAGCTGCGAGACTACATAGTCTCGAAGAGCCTCTGCCATCCATAGAACAAGCTGCACCAACAAAGCCGAAGCGAACCCTAATGTGGACCGAAAAGTACCGAGCAAAGAAGTTCACTGATCTTGTGGGAGATGAAAGAACCCATCGCTCAGTCCTCCGCTGGCTCAAAGGCTGGGATTCGATCGTGTTCCCCGGTTCCAATAGGCCAAAGCCAAAATCGCGCTCAGGAGTCCATGCTGAGACTGAAGAGCAGAGATACAGGAAAATTCTGCTGCTTACGGGACCTCCGGGCCTGGGCAAGACTACTCTAGCACACGTTTGTGCACGACAGGCTGGATACGAAGCAAAGGAAATCAATGCCAGTGACGAGCGCAGTAAGGACGTTGTAAAGGGGCGCATTCGTGATATGGTGGGAACCGAGAACGTTCGAGGCATCGATTCGAATACCGCAGACGGCAAAGTACGCAAAGCAGGCCGTCCGGTGTGTGTCATCGTTGATGAGGTTGATGGTGTAGTGGGTGGCAGTGGTGGAGGTGGAGAAGGGGGCTTTGTCAAAGCTCTGATCGACCTAATTCACCTTGACCAGCGAAATGCGAACGTAATTAATTCACAGACTCCAGCTGCCACGCCAGCAGCACGGAAGAAAAAAGGTGATAAGTTCAGACTTTTACGGCCTATCATTTTGATCTGCAACGACCTCTACCACCCATCCCTTCGACCTCTGCGACAGAGCTCCCTGGCAGAAGTCGTCCACATCCGGAAACCACCATTGGGTATGGTGATATCTCGCATTCACTCCGTTTTCGAAAAAGAAGGTATCCCGTGCGATTCGGATGGTGTTCGGCGCTTGTGCGAGGCAACTTGGGGAGTCAGTAACCGTAAAGAAGGTGGCAATGGAACTGGAACTGGCGAAGGCGACATACGCAGCGTCATGGTAGTTGGTGAATGGGTTGCAGGCAAACTTCGTGCATGTGTGGACAAAGGCGAGATGCGTCTGACGAAGAAATGGGTGGAGGAGCACATACTGGGTGACCTTGGCCATGGGGGTGGCGCTGCTCGCTCCTTAGGACGAGGAGGAGCTCGTGAGGTCGCAGAGAGAATCTTCCAGGAAAACGCTGGATTCCCGAAGACGACTATGGTGGCTCCTGTCGACATTGATCCCTTCGCGCCTGAAAGGGATGGCCCAGTAGGTGTCGCCGAAGCAAACAAGAGTCGTGCCATGCAGCGCCTGCGAGAAATGGTGGATACGAGCGGCGATGCTGACAAGATTGTCGCAGGTATGAACACCTGAACCAACTAAAGACCTTTACTTACGCATCCATTGTAGACTGTCACTCCAACTACGCGACTTATCCTTACCAAGATGACACCTTCCTCACCAAACCCAACACCGCCTACGAGTGGCTCCACTTCCACGACATAATCAGCTCCTCTGTGCATACTAGCCAAGAGTGGGAACTCGCACCGTACCTCTCTCAAACGCCCCTCGCCTTCCACCATCTGTTCGCCTCCTCTACCACCCGCCTGGCCCAGAACACACGCACAAACGACACCACCTCCCTATCCGATAGCGAGCCGCTCCCCTTCACCGGTCCTACCGCCCCTTACTCCGCATCCGAAGCCCTCAAAGCAAACAAAGCCTCCCTCTCCGCCCTCCACGCCTCCTTGTCCCTCCCACTAACCCGCACATTTCGCTCTCCGGCCACCCTCGCAACCGACCTCCTGCCGTACGTCACCCGCATGCTAGCCCCAGACGTCAAGCCCGTCATTATTCAATCTGGCTCATCAGCCACATCCAAGTTCAGCAACACAAGCACAGCGTCCGTGCGGCGCGGCGCAGAAAAGCAACTCGTGGCGCGCGCCGTAAATGCCATGATCGCGACGGGCGTGCGGTTCGAGCGCAGTCGCGTCGAGTACGATGCCGCAGCCGGACCTGGCACGCGCGCTGACTGGGTGTTTCGCATGGAGCCGCCGCTGGATGCACAGGCGGTGTTTGAGACGCTGGGTGGTTGTGCCGGGGCGGAGGCAAAGGTGCGGTTTGCGGTCAGGCAGGTCCTGGAGGCGGAGTATCGGCGGGAGGTTGCGAAGAGGGAGAACGAGGAGCGGAAGAAGAGAGGTGGCATTGTGGATGTTGATATACTGATGGATGCCAACGCCGGAGAGGGTTTGGCGGAGAAGGTTGGTTCTGTCGTGAAGGTACCGATGGTCAAGAAGGATTTCTTTGGGAGGGTGCTGAGGAAGGAGGAGGAGAGGGTTGAGGGTGATGGCGATGGAACGTCACGGAATAAGAAGAAGAGTAAGGAGCATGAGAGGGCGGAAGGCCGGGTGTGGGTTAGTTATAATGAGGGCTTCTCGAATGCTGTCCGGAAGCCGATTACGTTGAAGGAGTTATTGAGCGGTTTCTAGCACGGCATTGTTTATTATCGGCACATACACACACACTAGCGTTATCATAGGGCATGACCAAGGTTATTCACCTTTGATTTGGTTCGCTCCCTGTAACTTATATGATAATCTTCACACAATCATCATTGACATTCAGTATCCCAGACCACCTAGACACGAGGAGACAGACCTTTTGATTAATTCCAATTGTTGCTTTATTTCATTGCTATGTCGCAAAGCTGTTTTTGGACTCTGCGATATAGACAGACTATGGGTATATTTTTGCGCCTATACCCACGGACATGAGATAATTATGAGTCTAGCGACGTTTAGTCGGCAGTAAACAGGGGTATATGTGCGCATCGTTGAACATGTTACAAGAGATTGTGTCTCACGATCGATATCATATGGCAGTCTGTCAATCTCGCCTTGCGTGATGCGATGGCCGCCCAGACTCGCGATGGTTTCGAGGTCCTGCTTCGTTTTCCTAACGCTTCAGCGTTTGCGCGTTCGTCTCGTAGCCCGGACCTTGTTCGCCCTCTGGCCTCCCTTGGTGTCCTCAGGTTCCGACTCCTCTTCAGCCTCATCCTCGTCCTCCCCATCCTCCTCATCATCTCCCACGGAGTCCGAGACCGCTGACTGCGCCTTGCTATTGCGCCCTGCGGACGCTGCCTTTCCCTTTACGCCCCGCCCACTCAGCTTTGCAGCTCGCCCCTTTTTCGCCGGCGGCGAGCTCTGTACCTCGACCTCCTCCTCCTTCTCGTCTGACCCAACGCTACCCTGGCCCAACGATATCGGCCGCGCATCGTCCCTCCCAAACTGCAGTTCTGGAAGCTCGGGCGAGCTACTTCTCTCCGCGTCGCTCGGCGGGAATCGGCGCGCCCACATTAAGTCGCCAAACTCGTCGTCCGGCAGCTCGAAGCTCGGCATCTGGTCCTCGTCATCTGCATCCTCCGGATCCGGATCTTCGGCAAAATTGTGTCCGTTTTCGCGATCGTCGAGGGTCTCTAGGTCGTACAGCGCGTTTAGCTTGCGCCAGATGCCGGGGATGCGGGTGTGGGAGGATGCGCTGCCGGTGTAGCCGTGGGAACGCAGGTCTCTGGAGATGGAGAGCATGCGGAAGTGCTTGTGCATACCAGTGGGTTTGTAGCGGATGAGGTTCTTGAAGAGGAGGGATTCTTGGTCGTCGGTCCATGGGTCGTTGGCGAGGTCTTTGGGGCTTTGCTCGGTTTGGGGGGAGGCTGCGGTGGCCGTGGTGTCGATGGGGGTTTTGGGTTGAGATTCGGCAAGAGGGGTAGTCGCGGCGCTGACTTTGGCTCTTTTTCGGGGCGGCATGCTGAATGTAAGAATTGATGTGTATGAGGATCAATTGGAAGTGAATCGTAAGGCCGACTGTAGGAGCAGATTGAGCTGGTACCTAAAGTATGTATGATAGCTCTGTAGGGCTGAACGGCTTGGCGTTCGTAGTTGGCCCATGCCGCCCCACCAAACGCGTCTCCCCGCACTTTTCCATTTACGCGTCTTCATCTCATGTAGTTATGGAGCTGCAAGACGACAGCGGTGATCCGTTCGATGTTGCAGCAATATGGCAGACCTCTATTTTCGCAAAGGATATGCATATCGAACCCTCGGATCTGTTCCCTGGGACCGGACTTGATAGTCAGTACGAATCTTTGGTGTTACCGACTGCGATTGCTAACGTTACTTAGTCCCAGCAGTCAAGCTTGACAATCCATATGCGCCGAAAGTGTCATTGGACGAAGCGCTTCAATTGCCAAACATAGATGATTTTCAGTTCGCGAGTCTTGACGATTCCCTGCAACCTCTCGAGACCGAGACGTCTTCGGACGAAGATCAACTGCCTGTGCTCCACGATGAAATTGATGACCTTTGGGACCTTGAGTGCGAGTTCCATAAATCAGATTCTACACCTCAACTCTTCTCCTGGGAAGCCTTCGAATCTCAAACAATCGATCGCCCTTCTCCATTATATCTCTCAGAAGCTGGTCCTACCGTCTTTGATGCTATACTTTCACAAACCAATGCCTCTACGCAGAAAGATACTCGAGCAATACGAACCGATGCCCTCTTGAATTGCTTATTTAACTTGGGTCTGGGTCGATCATCAGTGCTCTTTCAATTCACCAAAGGGAAGAATGTCGCTCACAGCGTTTCGGCGGAGCATATGACGGGGCTGAGCGTGCAACTCACTCAGGCAGTAATCGGAGACTTCTTGGAATGTGGTACGACGTTCCGACTCTTGACCTCGTTCGTGGACCGAACATATGCATCCGCGAAAGCATTTCCCGCAATGGTTGCTCTGGCAAACACAGTCTCTACTGTGCTGTCCACCATGGTCACTCAACTTGAAAGTCGTTATGTCCAAAGTTTATTACAGCTCGAAGCTCTGTTTAAAGAGCCGAAACTGCTTATGCAAGAATTGAAAGATCTGTTATCATATGTGCGTGGCGCTCGAACGAATACTGCTCTGGTCGTCAGAGTATACAATTTCGTTGCCAAGAAAGGGCAACAGAGTGCTCTGCTGAACGCTGTCAATCTTCATGTGCTCGCTCGTGTGTCGCAGCCATGGCTGAACCTTGTCCAAGAGTGGACAGGAATGCACGAACAAACCATGTATGGTGGCCTTGAGACTGAGGACGACTTTTTTGCGCAACGGGCCCCGGACCCGGAAGACAAAGCTGTTACAGCCAAGGTCGCCGAGTTCCTATACATACACCAGCATATGCCTCCCTTTATCCCTGACGCCGAAGGCGAAATGATATTTGAGACCGGCAGTGCTGTTCGTTTTCTACGCCACCATCATCCCGAGCATCCAACTTGTTCTATGAAACGACTGAAACTTCAGGTGCCGGAATTACAATGGCGCTTCACTTGGGATGATGTAGAGCGTACGGCAGGGAAGGCGAAAGACTTTGAGGCAAGCTTACAGAACGCCATAAAAAGATATGTCACCGGCGACCTTTCACGGCCCGCTAGTAAAGGTCAAAAAAGCTTCGTATCGTCCAGTGATAGTGGTCAAGCCACATTCATAGACTTTGCGAACTTCATAGAGAATAGTGCCTCACTGCTTGATTCCCAGCCGCCGCCCGAGGAGTCTCAGCTCCCACAAGAACTAGTTGCATTGATGTCGCTAGCCCTAGATGGGACTTCCGCCATTCCGCCAAGGGATGTAAATACCTTCGAACCACCTTTAGCTCTGTCGCCGGTACTCACGCTGATTCCTCTACTAAGGATACAAGCCCAGCTTGTCAATGCCGTCACTTTAAGACTTTTTTTCCGAACTCACGGCCTTCGTCATCATCTTGACCTCCATAGGCAATACCATTTGTTCGGCGATGGTGTCTTTCTCGCTCAACTATCGACTGCTTTGTTCAGTCCGGACTTGAGGACCGCAGAGAGAGAAAAGGGAAAGGTAAGGACTGGAGCAACAATGGGTCTGAGACTCGGGACTAGAACCACTTGGCCTCCAGCAAGCTCCGAACTGAGGCTTGCATTGATGGGCGTTCTCAGTGATTGCTACCACTCCTCGGAGCTTTATTTATCCCATGTGAAGCATACAATGGATGTGCGCGAGCGAAAACGCGAGGACGGTGATCTTCCTGGACGACTCAGCTTTTCTGTACGTCATCTTCCCGAGGCCGAGATCACAAGAGTCATGGACCCAAATTCGCTGTATGCCTTGGATTTCCTACGCCTCCAGTACGACGCTCCTTCACCCATCAACCTCGTGATTACGCCATCTTCGCTCGAAAAGTACGACCAAGTTTTCAAGTTCCTGTGTCGACTCTTACGCATGCTCTTTGTCGTTAACCATCTTCCGCGAGATCTGTCGTCCAAAGTGGCCCGTAAGTTTCGAACCGAAGCTATCCATTTTGTCGTCACTGTCAGCTCATACTTTTTCGACACTGGCATTTGCGAGAAATGGACTTCGTTCGCTGAGTCTCTAGACAACATCGAAATACGTTTGAGACAAGAGGATGCCACTCATGAGTATGGCTCTGTTGTTTCTGAGGGACTTGGTCACGTGCGCAAGGCTCACGAAGCCTGCCTAGATCGCATCATGCTGACCCTCTTTCTGCGGAAACGGCACGACAAGGTCATAGGTCTTTTGGAAGAGATATTCTCTTATATCCTTGAATTCGCTGGGCATGCCGAGCCTCATGTACCTGAGGTCGATGGCCTTTACAAGAAACTGCACGATAAAACGAAGGTGTTCCTGCAAGTCTGTCGTGGATTGAGTGGCAGACGGAGTAAGAAGGTCACAACGACGACAGGCGACGAGATGGATGTCGAGAAGCTTGTTGTCAAGATGGACGTCTCGGGATACTATGGAGACGAATCTCCGTGATGGAAATTCATCGATACGACTAATGATAGTCCAGACTGAGACCTTGATGTATAACCGGCCCCCAACGAACTAATCCAGGATTGTGCCCTGCGCCCGAGGCTGAGACTCCACACAGAACGTTGCCTTATCTAAAGGGAATCTGCACTTTGGCAACACTTGCTTTCTTGCCATTAATCAAAAGCAATGAATCAGCTCCAGGAGAACGTCGATACTACACCGACGCCTGCATCGTCTGTGGACGCCACGATGCAGTTGGAACCGCTCCCTGCCATTTCGCCGCCAATCAAAGCCCGCAAACGGGACGTCATCATCAGCGGTGCCAGAATTGCTAAAAGCTTACCCTCCATCGCTTGGTATGCTACGAAACTTGGTGCGCGTCGAACGATGAAGACGAGCAGTAATCGCCAACGCCACTTGCGTGAGAAGTTAAAGGTCAATAGGCACTCTTGCGCCATCAATCGCCCTCTTACTTACCAACCTCGTAGCATTCATCCATGAGCTCTTTCGAGTATGACAAGCTCAGTCACCCGGATAATATTCGTCTTCTCTCCATTGCTCCTGCGTCTTCACTCTCGCCACTCGTCTGTTGGTTGGAAGAGGTGCCATTGGCGAATTGCCCCGACTATACCGCCCTGTCGTACTCCTGGGACAAGAACACCTCCTGGAAGCGGAATATTTATAGCATTTGCTGTGCCTTGCTCAGTATCGTTCCCTGTTGTCGCTGTATGGGGTATGCCAGTCAACCAAAATTCAGACAGTACCATATAATTTGCAATAGACGAAGCATTCCCATCACCCGCAATCTCTATGAATGTCTATTACAATTGCGCGAATCAAAGTTCACTGGCAAGATTTGGATCGATGCAATTTGTGTCAACCAAAGAGACATCCCAGAGAGGAATTCGCAAGTCCTCCATATGCCTACAGTCTATACGTCTGCCCAACGCGTGATCGCTTGGCTCGGCAGCTGTCCGTCGCCACTCGATGATGTCAAGATCATGGGATCCGTCTTTCGACCAAGGATTGACTTCCAGTCTGACGAGTTCCAGACTTGGGTTGCGGAGAAGCGGCCATTGACATTTTCGCGCGTAGCCTTGCTGCGACACTTCTCCAGAGTGCACTTATTCGGCCGACGATATTTTCAAAGAGCTTGGATCATCCAAGAAATACTGTTGGCTAGGGATATAACATTTGTCATAGGGAGGCACGAATTTAGCACAGACCAGCTCATAGCGGCTGCGAATCGTCTTGATGAACGTAACCGTATACCCGTCCAGTCAGCCTTCCAAATGATACTCAGTCTACAGAATGCATCTACCACTGGGACTCGGGCAATTTTGAGTGAGCGAGTCGATTTTCAAGTGAAAGGAACTTGGCGGTGGCAAGACTATGTTGCAGCAGCTCATGGACACAATGCGACAGATACACGTGATCTGGTCTATGCCGGTCTCAGTCTCGTGCTTAGTCGAGATGACAAACATACATCTCCTGCAAGTACTTCCCCAATACGTTTATCATTAGATAATGATACGGGACGTGAATTTCGCATCGACTACTCCCCGGAGGTAGATATAGAGGATGTCTTTATACATTGTGCCACCAGACTTCTTGAGGAATGTGGGCTGTACGCCTTGTCTCTTGCGTACAAATCGTCCAGGGTTGTTTCAACGAGTACCTTGCCAACCTGGGTCCCTCATTTTCAGGGGCGACAAAAATGCTTACCGTTCCGGAACGAGCTAGGCCACATATTTGGTGCAGGTGGCAATACTATCCCAAAAGTTCGTATAGCACATCGCGAAAAACTACTATATCTTGAGACGGGCGCAGTTCATTTAGGTCATATTACGGACATCCACAAGAACGTCGATTGGAGAGCAATTGTTGTGCTCTTGAAAGCCCGACCTGGCTTCAATGATCGAGACGGACTGTCAACGCTTGAGGTGCTCGCCAGAACCATTCTTGCAGACACTCTGGAGGGGGAGACACCTGCCCCTCGCCATGTGATTGACGACCTTGTTACCTACGTCCGCTCAGGAATCAGGAACAGTTCATCATCTTTTCTAGGCTCAAACGTCTTTATACCCAAGAAATGGGCAGAGGAAGAAGCTGCCAAAAAGCTAGAGAATGCCCAGAAGTGGTCGAGCGACTTCGAGGCAGCTTTGATAAAGAATAATCACGTGATACCTGGCGCGCCTGCACTGGAGAATAACATCTCGGTCCAGTCCAACGGGGGGTCTTCTTACCAGCCCAAGGCAGGAGCGAGGTCTGAGGAGAATCTGAATCAAGAGAAGCAGAGCGACGCTCACACTAACCACCCCATCTCGAGCGATGCACCAGTCCGAGATGTCACCAAACCAGAAAAGTCAGAAGTGCCCTTCCCCGCCGGCCTCAGCCTGTCAGACGCCCAAAGAGGCGACGCAGCATGGATGACGGCGGTCTCACAACTCAGTGAAGAACAACTCGAAATCTACTTCCAGAACAATCCTCTCCTAAAGAGCGTCTTCCTTCGCAAACCGAAGTACGCGCGCAACCTTGACCAGCGATGCCGCCATCGCTGTCTCTTCGTCACAGATACGGGCTATATCGGCATCGGCCCTGCCGATCTAGCTGAAGGATTTTCGATCATGGTCATGCCCGGTGGGTATGTGCCGTTCGCGATGGCCGCGTCCAGAGAGATTAAAAATGAGAAGAAGTTTGTAGATACGGAGGACCCAAAAGGGGAGGAAGACCGGGCGAGGCGAGAGGGCACGGTTGTATATGAGTTGAGGGGTGAGGTGTATGTGCATGGAGTTATGCATGGAGAGACAGTGGGAGGTAAGGAATGGGATCCAAAACCGATTGTTATTGCTTGATAGGATTCGCTATCGATGTCTGTATCTGATCTTGAGTTAGCATATCATAGCATTATTCACTGACTTAATTCTTTTGTCTGGTGCGAGGCGATCTTCATTGCTCCAAGTATGCCATATTGTCCGATATCAGGTCAGGGAAGAAAGATGTACATCTACTAGATAGATAAAGGTAACGAACAAACTGATGACTGAGCACTCTATATGCATTTTCAATGACCAAAAGGCACAGCATCATTTGACAGAACTCGATTAAAAGCTCAGCGAGCGCTATAGACCCTACAATAGGATCATGAATAGCTTGATACACTCATTTTTCACGCATGCTACGGCTCGGAAGTACAAACTATTATACCATATCAAACGGTTCGGATCAGAGCGTGGAACTCTGGAAAAAGACCACGGTATGCCGGCATAGCACCTGCTTCCAACTAGCTTCTCTTCTGAATACATAATTCGTGTGAGGAATCGATGTTGAGAGACTATGCTACGGAGGTGTCGAAGGCTCTGGGAGGATTCGTATCGTAAAGAGACAGCTGTCTGGAAGAATGAATAGGTGTAGGGTATCTTCATAAATGTGTTAGTGAGAGCTCATAGCTGGACTCCTCACCTTGTAGCTTGCTATGTGGTTTGACTGGGAGCAAGCATTATTGAAATACTCAAGAGCAGATCAGCACGAGTGTTCTGTGAGAGTCCGAGCTTGAATTCTACCGGAGAGCCCGCAGGTGATGAGCTAGCATCGCGACCTGGCTTGTACCTATAGATGCGCAGACGAGTGGGATGTTTACAAGAGGGTAGGACTTTGGATGTAGATGGCTATTGTGACTGGCTGTTCAGTTCGTTGGGGCTCCTGTGATTGTTTATTTGTCTGTAGCACTACACGTACAGTGGGAAGGAACTTCTTTTCATGTAAGAATTTCTTAACGATCGTGACTGCTACGAGTTTGATGCTACCTTCTATGCACGGATTTTTGTCGTTCAATGAACGCAGAAGGCGAGACTATGTACAGGAGTGCTGGCTGTGATGGAGATGCGTCTGCTGCCTGACCTTTATTCGAAGAACTGTGAATGAAGTATTTGATGAAATTCAATGTATTGTAAAGTGTAGGTTATGAGCCCGGCTCTTCACTGTAATAGCCTTCCAGAGCCTCATTCTCCTTTTATATTGATGAAAAACCCCATACTTTGATGAAAACAAACCTCATCAAGTTTTTACTTCAATTCCATCAACTCCCTTCCGCTGCATCGTTCCCTTGATCCTTTGCACAGTCCTCTCGGTCCTCTCGACCCTCTCGCCCTCACTGCCTTCAATACGAATAAGCAATAAGAAAGAGAAAGAGTCGGAGCCAGAAAAGGTCCCGCACAAAGAAAGAGAAGGCAAAACTCGAGAATACGTTGATAACAAACCTCATGATGTCTATCAACTTCAAGCTCGATCCTTCCTCTCTCCCCAAGCTATCTTCACGAGGCAAGAATTTTCCTGAATGGAGATCAGCATGGACAATTGCATTTAAGTATGCACAATTGTGGCCAGTTGTCTCTGGCAGGATTATAAGACCTTTCGGTGCTGGCATCACAGAATTACATGCAGATGTGTTGGACTGGGATGCAAAAGACAATAAAGCAATGATCATGTTGCTTTCGTCTATACATCAAGACCTAGTAATAGGTCTCACGTCCTGCGACACAGCAGCTGCAGCCTGGACATACCTGTCATCACGATTTGATCGTGATACAGGTAATTCCTCGATACATCTCTTCATTCACAGTTCTTCGAATAACCTTCAAGCTCGGAGGCACCGGAACGGTCTACACGGGATGATTTGGCTGCCTTCCATGGTTAACAGCAACGATACATTTTCAGTCATCTTACTGACTGCCTCTGGACGATTTTGTGGCAGCCGAAATTGTGGCAGCTCCACACGACGTGTGCAACTGGTAGATGTGGCACTCTGAAGGTGCGCTCTGAAGGTGCGCTCTGAAGATGCGCTCTGAAAATTCGAAACGATCCATGGATTCGCAATATCGACCCGTTACAAACCACGAAGGGCCCATCAGGTATATAAATGGCTGATGTCCTGCTATTTCATGCCCTGCAGCCACTTTTCCATACTCACACATCACAAAGTGCACTCTTACTACCAACCTCAATCAACACTACCAACTTCTCCTCTGTCACCATCCTCAACTACTACCGACCCAACCACCATGCTCAACAAGGCCATCATCGCTGCCAAGCGCATGGTCATCACTGCTCTGCACCGCAGGCAGATCAGGGAGTACTTGGCCGCTGTAGAGCGCGCTGAAAGAGTACAGCAACGGCTTGCTGAAGCCGCAGATCGCTACTGCGAGGTGTACGGATACGTGCAAAGCACGTATATGACTGAGTACATGCTCATCGATGAGCAGTACCGAGCCGCAGAGCGGGAGGTCATGGCCTCACGCAAAAAGCTTGAGACTCATCGGTAGGCTTATATTGTCACTGTTCTACGTGCTTGCGCTAACGAGAAATAGCTTGTAGAGGCTTCATTTCGGTGGGTTTGGCCTGCTGGGAAGGCCGGAGAAGGCTCCAAGGGCAGCGGGTTATCTTTTATTTTCGGGGTGCTGGCGTTTTGGGTGGATGGCTTCTAGATGAACCGAATAGAATTCTTTCAACACACATCGTCTCCTTATTGACTGTCCATTTATGATTCTCAACGTTTCCATATTTTAGTGATGTTGTGATTTCTACAGCCAATTCCATAAACTGTAGTTCCTCATGCTCTCGAGGCTCTAATGTGGCATAGACATAGAGTGCTGAGACGACTCAACTGGACTAGATAGCACTTATGGAACAGGGTCAATTGAAGAGCACGCGACTCGCTTGCTTGAGGTAGAAGGATCATGTTTGGCATATTTGCCAGACCATAAGCCTGCTTGTATTAGGACGCATACTCGACATCTGTAGGGGCATTTGAACGTTCTGTTGGTGCTTTCAGACTTCAGAAAAGAACGTAGGTAGAATGATACGAATTGGCTCGATACATCAAAAAGGGGTTGATACGGCGGGCCAAAAAGCACAATGGTGCAGTTTTCCTGCCATCCAAGTAACTACTGAAATGATGGAACATTATATCTCCGCCCCTTTCAACCATCTTACAGCACTGCTTCATTCGCCAATAATATCGCCTATCGTGTGCGTCCACCACCTACACATCTCAATATACTCGAAACTACTTTTTTTCTCAATGGTTACAATTGATGTTCACGTTAGGAAAATACGAAGATCATAGAGGCTAGTTTCAGAGGAGGTCCTACTAACCATTACATCCCATCTGAAGATAGTCTGCATAGCCTGTGAGCCGTTATAAGTGCAACAATAGAACATGAGGCCTTTTGCTTGCCAGGACATTCAACATTTTTGATTGTGGAAGTTGTGAGATTTGCAGTGGTAGGACTTGAATTCAGGTTGGTATCAACTACTCAGGTGCATACTTGGCTACGTGGCTCCTTCTAGGTATCTCGCCTAGCAACGCTCGCCCTTTCCAGCTTAGGGGGATCAATGTATTTCTCTGTATTTTCGAATCACGCCTAGCGACAAATTGTTTGCGGACTTGAGGTTAAGTCTGTCACATCTCAATCGATCCTGACCACGCCCGGATGTTTGCGCAAATTCGTGTTATCTTCTTTTATGCTCGTGCTCCTTTTCTACAGCCTAGGCCTCCTACTCCTAGCCTACAATACAGATCCTTTCCACCGCATTCCGAGCTTTGTGCTCCGCCTATAGCCGCCCCTCGTCTATAAGTACCACCTCCCCCTCCACTTCCCCCTACCCTAAATCACAAGGAGCACTACAGAGATAGCCAATAGTGCTGGAAGAGCTTGGATCACGAAGGCATTCTTCTCTCATGATTATCGCTAGGTCTATAAGAGCCTACAAGGCCTATGCATGTATAGAGATGCTGAAAGTCGCCTTGTCCCATACATCCATGGTCTTTGGATTCCGGAATTCGATGGAAGCTAGCAGGTACCTTTGGCTGCCCCGAGAGCACAACCCCTCGAAGTATGCCCGGCAGCACTGGATCATTGTCGCCTCACCGTACCCTGGAACCGTACACCAAGCAACGATGGGCAAGCTCATGCCTCTCTCACCGGAACCTCGCGGGGCTTTGTCCAGTTCGCGACCAGACTGGCTTACTTTTGGCATCGGAACAAAAGAGGCAGTTCACGTGGCCAAAGAACAAAGAACTGACATATCAAGGGCAAGAGAGGACAAACCGATGCTGGTGTCCAGACTAAGAAGCAGAAAATACATTGCAGGGTGTGATTGACTTTTCTCTTATCTAGCTCGACTTCTTGAACATTCACTCCGTGTACTGGACCAATCTAGGCCATTCCCACTGAAGTCAAGTTCTGGCTTGCCTGATCTTAGTTTGCAAATTTTGCACCCCCTTACCGCTTCTGATCCTTGCGAGACTCGCCGCCAACTTCCGAATCGCTGTTGCTCAACACCTAAAACGATTCCGGATTGGGCGCTGCGGTAGAGTCTACTCTTCCAGCACTGTCCGGTGCGGCTCCTTGGCTCGTTATAAGTCGGTTCTCATGTGTCCACCAGTACAAAAAGGGAAACACCCAAACTTACCGGCATGGACGGATGCTACAAAGCTGGTGTCTAAGCTGTTTTCGTCTCCTCTATGAGTAATATCGAACGTATCCAGCAGACTGAACCGTGGATTCCTCTCTCCAACCATCAAAATCTGGTCACATCATGCTGAAAGAATACAAGCTAGTCGCCGCTTGTCGACTGAATTCCCAGCTTTCCACTGTCGTCGTCTGGAATCGGTAAGAGTTCAGAATTCGATTTTTCGATGGCTAGCGCAGTTTCTCCAGGCATAAATAGCCCGCACTCCCCTTCTTTTCTCTCTTCTTCATACACGAAAGCTTTTGGGATTACATAAGCACAAGCTTTTTAATCGTTCACACACTTTCAAAACAACTTCTAACAAATCATCAAAGTCTTTTTAAAATGCAAACTTCAAACGCCAAGTTTGCTCCGGGCTACGGCCCGGGTTACTTCGTCGACGTCGACGAGGCCATGCACGGCGGGGCATACCGCCTCTACATGGCGAAGGTGGAGGAGAGGAGAGCGAGAGAGAAGAGATGGAAGAGAGGGTGGTTGTCTAAGCTCTTCTGTTACAGGTGAGTGAAGATCTGGTGTTTGGGTTTGCATTTTCTGGCGTTTTGATTTGCATTTTCTGGCGTTTTGATTTGCATTTTTTGGCGTTTTTGATATGCATTTTTTGGCGTTTGGGTTTGCTTTCTTTTCTTTCTGGCGGTTTGGGTTTGCTTTCTTTGCTTTTTGGCGTTTGGGGGGAGCATCCCAAGTCCATCTGCAGGGGGTCCACGTCCCGATGCTCGGTAACCCTACAACGGGGCTGACTGCTGCAGCTCTGGCATCACCAGGTCTTGTTGGTGTTTTCTCGTTGTCATGTTAGGTATCATTCGTTCTCACTTGGGTATCTCTATCTATCTTCTAGGTGTCTCAATGTCTCTTCGGAGTCATATTACTCTTGCCGATACGCTGATTGATTGCTATCGTTGCTTTACCCTGCCCTCATCATGTACATAACCCGCGATGCGCATATCTGAGTCAAATTGTCGCGATCTCTTCACTTCTTAACCTCTACCCTTTTCCAACCCTACCCTTCTCCAACCCTACCCTTCTCCAACCCTACCCTCTACCTATACCCTTGACCTATACCCTTGTAGATCTATGTTGCTTTTAAATTATGTAGATATTTAATACTAAGGGAGAATATATATACATTGATTACCGTTGAAAGATACAACAGCTAGAAAGATTATCATTGCTAGATCAAAAGTGGCCCTCTCTCTTTGATACTAACAAATACAATTAACATACTACTATTTTAGCAGGTTATTTTCTGCGCTTGATACTAACGACTATGAGCTCTTAGGAGGATCTAAGGAAGATGCACCACATAGATGCCCGGAACAGGCGCGTACAATACATGTTTCCTTTAGTCGGCTGTTACTAGCTTTGTTACGAGCAGTAGTCGAACCTGAGCATCGGGCGACTGATCTAGGAACCGGTAAAAAGGAGACTAACAAGCTGACCGAGTGTCCATTATACATTAATTCATCAATGCCTGGGTCTCGGCGACACTTGAAATTTCGAACAACCATGTTCGTGGACTGAATAAAAGATAATTATTCCATACTTCCGATCTTGACTCGCATATATTCATGTATCGTCTGCTTGGGAATAGAGTTGTTAGCTAGTCTTCAATAATCTACGATAAGCCACACCTCTTAACGTAAGATTTTGATGGGATACTAAAACATTCTCGCTTGGTCAAATTTCTGATGTGAAGCTCATGGTGGCCCAGTATATTCAAATCATAGCGTCTATATGCGTCTGACTCAGGATTTGCCTATGCAACATAAATATTTCTAGTTGTAATTGGTTATCGGATTCCAAGTATACTTCCTGACTTCCACGATGGCGGGAGTCTCTTTGCTTCCGTTATCCATACGAGAGCTTCAGTACTCATTGATAGCCTCTGATACCTTTGTACTCTTATATTAGATTGGTATCAAACAGATCCTATGCCTCTAGTCAAGTTCTTGTACAATGAATGACGCTCGCTCTGTGCATCGCCAGAATATTTTCGATGTAGCCATTGCCTATGCTATTCGCTTGCGATCCAGTCTGTGATGCTGCTCTTGTCATATTGCTCCTGCCTGAATATAGCTGATCT